GTTTGAAAAGGCGATTCACGTCTTGCACGACGTCTTTGGAAGCTCTGCCACTTAGCTGCGCCCCCAAAGCGCCTGAACCGTTGATTAGCCGTTATCTGCGTAGCTCCAATACCTTTTGGTGCGCGTAGTTAAGGTGTGAGCCCTAATTCAGGCCCTAAGCTTTGCGCAGTAGAAGTGAAAATTTAGTGCTACCAATTGGTCTGGAGAAAGCGAACTATTTACTTGAGAAATTGCTCTAAAATCACGCTTAATTCTGATATAGTAAGAATGGCTGCAAGTCTGGTTCTTCACGGCTTCCAATAGTAACGTGTACAGCGATATTTACTGGGCCATTGAGATTCTCATTCGATTTCGATGCATTGCTTTTGCAGCCTAGAGGAGTTTGAGAAACGTGAGCGTCATGCTCGTGAACGTGCAGCTGCTGAGAATGAGCTAGAAGGTTACGCGTTCGAAGTGAGTCAGCTAGTGGAAGAAGATGATTACGTCAAGCATTCCACTGAGGAGGAGAGGAGCAAGCTGCTGCAAGAGGTACTTCACAGCTGTTTATTTTAAGTTTTTGATGACACATAGCACATAAAATTTTGTGCTTATTTTTATTTATCTGCAATTAAACCTTGTTTGTTCATCGAGGTCACAGGAGTTTTTCTTTCATATTAAGCACACCTTTGAGAACAATCCATGTCGGCCATGGAAAGTCGGTACAGTTGGTCATCCCCCATCCTGGTTCCAATCACCGCATCGCTGAGAACATCGTTGTAACACTCCAGGATGGGGTCAAGCAGAGGAGAGATGGCAAGGCGGCGGCGTCTTTCTGCATGCGCAGGGAAGTTGGATAACTACTGAACCTGGCAAAGGCGATGCTTATGGATAACAGATTGGTTCTATGTATGACGGCTTTCAATACACCACAGCGATGTCAGTCATCAAAACGATGCTTTGCGCTATGAAGGTCGTCAGTGTCCTTCAATTTTCGGATCAACGGAGTGAGCATTTTCGAAAGACGTGCTCGTCAAGGTGTCGACTCGCATTGGAGCAGTCGCACTCGACAGCTTCTGTCAGTTTTCTAACTCTCTTGTTGTTTTGCTGAGAAGACGGTCGTCATCGATGGCAGACGGAGGAGGCCTTTCCATTTTCAGGAAGTGTTGCTGTTGTATCAGACTTGGGAGGAATGTAAGGGCTTGATTGTTGAGGATAAAGAATGAGGAAAAGGGAGCAATGGGCAAAATCAAGGAAGACCTTACAGGTGAGGTCGTTTCAGGGTGTGGGGCGCTTTTTCAAACGGTTCTCTGTATGTTGTACGGACTCATGTTTGACGACAAAACCGAGGTCCATTCCGGCGTAAATTGGAGTCATCGAAGGAAATGGATGTCATGTCCGTGTGATCAGAGTACTGGGCATTACTTAATGCAGAAGGTTCAGAAAAAAATTGAGATTTTGACCTAGTTCCGAAAATGGCCATTGATAAGTCAGTAGCCCACACGGTCCTCCAGCCGGCGAAACTGAAAACAGTCTCCTCGTAATTCTTCTTGGAATACTAGAAATCAGAAAACCCATGCAGCATGTGGAAAATGTTTTGAGGAAGCGCTATACTCCGTGAACGCCTTGCCTTGTTGTTATGATTTCACTCGAGGCCATTTGCTGAGTGAAGTCAGTGGACTACTTGACAGTTGAGTAAACAGATAGTATATATTGGTATCTCTATTTCAATACTTGCACAACACGTAATCGCATTCATGTGCATGTGGGTAAAATAGAATTTGATTCAAAGGCACTGGTCACGATGGCTGGAGGGTGTAGGTGTTTTGATAACTTCGTTGAGCGTCATTAGTGGAAGGATGTTAGGAGAGTCTCGCAACCACGTCCACGTGAGGGGTCTAGCTCACCAGTGATGTGCAGTGTTGTCATTAAAACCGTACGGCCCTACAGCCATCCTGATCACTGCTTCCAAAATTCGTGAATGAGATACATATTTTTGCTTTACTCTTTTATGATTGGTTGTTGTGCAGTCTGATCATACTATTGCAGTCGAAGCGCATACGAAGTTGGTTAGAAGACGAAGTAACCCCGAACACTGAGACTGGCGATTTTACGAAGAATCATGCCATTTTAGTGGCACTGGTACGACCAATAAAGAAGAGGATTGATGAAGGAAAAGTGAGTATTATCATCTGTTTCTTATAATCGCAAAAAATGAAAACTGATGAAGGGCTCCGCTCTGGCCAACGTTTTCTTCAAAAAAATACCACGCATTCGACTCAGCACAGGAAAATGGCGTTTGCTTGCTTATCCGCTTTGTAAAAATCATCGTTTCCATCTCTATACAAATCTGGTGTCATCAATCGAGCCGGGAGGGATGGAAAGCTTGTTCGACATCGGTCTTGTTCGATGCAGAGTTCGATTTTCGGACTGCGACTGTGTGGAGGCATATGAAGGGTCCTACACACCAGGCTTCTACAACGAGCTCTGAAACCATGAGATGTCTTAGCTTGCTGCGGGTTAAGAAAAGCCCAAAAATATACTCCCTATCTTGGATTTTGTAAGGCTTGAGCAGTTTTTATTTTAAATTTTGATCTCTGTGGCTCCGTATATCAACACGCGTTCATATTTTCGGGTAGGAATCGAATGCAGACTACGCATTGTCAACATGCTTGAATGCCTTCTTCAAGATAACTTAGCAGAGTTGGTCTAATTTTCTGAATAACAATACTTTGGAAGAATATTTAGGGGTGTGAAATTCCTCAAATCAGTACATTGAAAATTTGCTTTACCAACCTAAGGCAATAACCACTCAAAAAAAGATTGATCATAAGGATGAGTCAAACATGTGAATAATTATTCTTTCTTTAGACACTCCCGCCTGCGTTGGCGAACCTGGAGTCGATGTTGAATTCGTCGCGTGTCATGGCCAGCATGGGCGGTGACGACGAGAAATCGTTGTTCAACAAGGTTCGTGAGGTGTATGGTGCTCAGATCAATTTGTTCGTTTCATAGATTATCGTTGTCCCGATTCCTCCAAAGCTAAGATTGAGGAATTGCGTTTGTCTAGTGTTTTTCGTTTTCCTCTAACTTTTCCCTCTTATGTCTCTGAATTATTTTTCCATTTATTCGTTGGAGATTTTCTTTAATCTCACCACTCTAGTACTAACATATGCCCATTGTCCACTTACAATTCTCTTCATCAGCTGTTCGTCGAAAAAAACTTCGTTGGGTCCTTTTCAGTACTAAAGCCATGCATTTCTATTTCAGTCCGATGCTGATGCGTTCAGCAAGAAGCTGGATAGACTGACGACTTGGTTGGAAGGAAAGAAGGCAGAACAAGAGAAGAGACAACCCTATGAAGATCCAGCATTGATGACAAGTGAAGTGTATGCCAAGGTAGGATTGATATGCGCCCAGGAAATTTTTCTTCAGGTTCACAAAAACCGTGCACGTGGCATATGTCAACCTATGATCTATTCTTGTCAGCCACCGACTCAAACTTTGCTCACTGATGAATTGTTTTTTTAAAGGCACGAGTCGGGATTGAATTGATGCGTTATTTTGTTCAAACATTAGGCAAGGGGTGCAATGAGGAACATTAGTGAGGAGAAAAAGCAAAAAGCACCATAGAAAACACTAAATTTCCCTTAGGAGGCCGGCCGTAGTACGACGGAGAGACACAGCGCTGCGAGGAGAGGGAGAACGCGAGATAGTACGTCGTACGCGAGACGCAGAGACCACGTATGCCGTGGTGGATTACGCTGGCAGCGCGGGCAGCGCGGCGGGCAAGGCCTTAGCGCCATTGCCGCGCACTTTGGGTCGCGATAGTGTCGCGCCCTCAGTGCTTGGGGAGCCCACCATCGCACCCTGGGAAGAACTGCTGGCACCTAATCCTGTCTCGTGACTTTACGCACTCCAGAACGAGGAAAATTTTTTGAGCATCCAACATTATTTTGCAGTAGGAAGAACGTACATTGTTGTTAGAACACAGATATTCAGCAGTTTGTGGTGTCTGTGTTTCTAAGGTTTGATCTTGTGGAGTTTGACTAACCCCATGAATCTAGAAAAAGGCAGCGTTTTTCTAATAAAGAAGGATTGCGAATTAGAAGGCTGAGTGAATAAAAAACGGGAGAGAAGCCGTTGACATAGCCAAAAATAATCCCCCCTCCCTCCCTCTCTCACGTCAGCAGCGAATTATTGTGGTTTGAGAGGAAGGCCTGTCCGAAGGAATTTTCCAGACTTACACTGTTTGGTTGCGTTCCAGCAGTCAATCCGGCAATCATCTCTGCCTACTCCACATCCTACCAGCCACTAACACTCCTGCCGTGGGCGGTCATAGCTTTCGCAGCCTAATAAATGCTAGGCCGGGGACTATATTATACGCGCGGTTCGAGAAGAGTGGGTCGAGTTTTATGATAGGGTTCACTCACCGCTAATCCGGCCCTTGCCTTTAATGAAGTACAAGGTTTGAACATGGGGTGTTATGGTGGTTTTGCTGGCTTTCGTAGGCAAGCATGAGAAAATGAGCTCACTTCGTATCCTCCTGTCTATCTGCACACCACAGTCCTGCGCACAGTTCTCTGCAGGTGCGTGACCAAAATTGCAAAATATGCTGAGAGCGAAACTTTTGTTCCATTTTTATTCACATCTAGAAAAGCATCCCTTCTAGATGAACCAGATTTATTGTTTCTGGGATCAATTATATGTAGTAGATTTTCATTACTCTTCTCTTGCGTAATATGCTCCTTTCTTACTTCTTTGAGCTATGTCTGGGGTTTAGCATCAAACATGTTCTGCGCTGCCTTCACTGCTGCCCAAAATGTTTTTGATAATGCGCTTAACAATTTCACGCACCTCAACTTCCTGACTAGATAGTTTTTCGGTTTCCACTATCGCAATTCTTACAGCCTTTTTTCAAAGTTTTCAAAGTTTTTCCTGTCACATTCTGACTAGAGCTACGAGTCGTATTCACGAACTTGAACTATTCGCATTTAAAATACCTTTTTTCAGTTGAAATCATTGGATCGCGAGTTGAACTCGTTCATGAAGAAAATGAAACAGACGAAGCTTAAAGATGTTGAAGAACGTATGAAGAATGATTCTAAGAAGGATGACAAATCAGAGAAAGAAGAAAATGCTACAACAGCTGAGAAAGCTGAGCAGTCTACAACAACTGAAAAAGATGGCACTACGGAAGAAATAAAGAAGGATGCCCAAAAAGATGGTCAACCACTTGATGCCGCAGAGGAAGCGCCAAAAGTTGAGAAAGAAGGCGTCAAGGAAACCGAAGATGCAAAGTCTCAAGCAACCGACGATCCGGATGCAAAGGTTGATAAAGTGGAACTGTAGGATAGGTATTGACGTTTAGCTGTTATGGTTAGGTCAAGACCGGATCATGCCTTCATGTTGTCAGTAATTACGTTTTATGGGAGATACAGGTAATGTTCAGCGTGTGATGTGGTTTCCCCTTCTTCGTTATTGTCAAATTGGTTTTCGTGATAATCATCTCATTCTCAGTAATATAATAAATAACAATCCAAGAGCTCTACGTACACTTGTGAACCGGAAATACTGTGATTTTTTGGTTAATTTTTTTAAAAATTTTCTCCTTATCACCTTCCATAGTAATGTGTGTGCTTACACTGAAAGAACAATTCAGAAAGCGTTTATTGAAATGTCGTGCTCGAGTCGTAATTTATTATTGTTTTTCATAAATATTTTGTTCAACAAGGCTAAAATACATGAACGAAATCGATTTATGTGTGAGGTATGCGGAATGTGGAGCAATTGTGAGGCAAGCGGTCGCAAAATGGCTACAGTAGCAGCAAGAGCAGAAGGTTCATTGGTGATTGAGCGCTATTTAACTCACGTTTTGGTGATCGAGCTGGGTTTTTCTCGAAATTAGTCCTCGACAGTAAAGACGGCCAGAAATTCGTCTCTGCGGGCAGTTCATCCATAGAACTAGATCCATTGGTTTGAAAGCTGAGTCAAACGTTGCGAATCCAGCGAGTTGATGGCGGAGTGTGGGGTACGAAGGATGCACCAGCAGTTCGAACTATGCTGGGTGACTTGGCAGTGTGGGAAAGCAAAGAGAGTGCTCTCATGCGCACGTTAACTCTCGCCATCTTGCCTTGCTCATGGGACATGAGAGCATGAGTCGCTGGTGACTTCGCCAAACCGTCCTGTGGCCACAGTTAGGCAGTTGGAGCATCTCGCGCAGAGTCTATCCAGACGCACAAGAGAATAAGCCTCTACCCTCGTTCGCCTAGCCGTGGCGTACTTCGGCCGAAAATGTGACACCAGCTCTCCCCGGATATATGCCATCCAAAACGTTGGATTACTGAATTTACTGGAAGCTCTTCCCAGGGGTAGTTATACCTGCTGAGTACACGTACCAATCCGATTTCGCATGAACGTCGTTTTACACTTTTTATGTGCAAAGACTCGATGATTCGTGTTGTTTCCGATTTTCTCGCTCAGGCGCTTCGCATCATAACTTCAGCCGAAATTAGGCATTTTGGCGACTATTTACGCCACTTTCACTGCCCAGCTCTACAAGATGAGCACCGATTTTGATCGAAACACTCGTCATAGACTGTGGATTTTGCTAGAGAACTTGCCTTCAGGGGTAATTTGACCCGTAGATCACGAATATAAATACCGGTTTAGAGCGAAAACGCTTGGCGCCCGCGCCACAGGCGCCGGCGCTATCACAACAGTTTTGCGCGGGCGCTCGTAGCGCAGGCTACAGGTTCACTCGTAACAAACTGATGTGATAATCATATTCTACGGGTCAAAATACCTCTGAGGACAACTTTCCAGCGAATTTGGGGATCCGAGATGTTCTGGCGCCTTTTGGCGCCGGCGCTTCTGACGCGAGCGCCAGGCGTTCTAGCGGTAAACAAATGTGATATTCGTGTTCTACGGGTCGAATTACCCCCGAAGACAAGTTTCTGGCCAAATTCACAGTCAATGACCAATTTCGATAAAAATCCGGCTCAGTTCTCGAGGAGTGGGGCAGTAAAGGGTAAATAGTGCCGCATTTATTCTCGCAGAGTGCAGTACGGGACGTAGGTTTTCTGAGGCAAATACAGCAATTTTGCCTAACCCATTTCTTAACCGTTGCGCCCAAGTTCGTGAGACCTTGCATGTGAATTTCGGCAAAACCGTTGGTCAGCCGTTTCGTTTTATTCCACCCCAAGCTGCAACGTTTACGAAATTGGCTGCAATGTTTACGAGTTGGGATGGAAAACCTTGTAAACTATAACTAAATAATACGATAAAACGCTCGGTCCCGGCTTGGAATAATGTTGACAAGTGAAAAGCAAGACATGGTAAGGCCGGTGTCAGACTTAGCGAATCCAGCGATTCGCCGGCGAGTGTTGCACCGGCTAATCGAACGAATACCAGCAACCCGGCAGTGTTTGTTTTGTTGGAAGTAGCGGGAGACGCTCTCGTTTGCACGTTCACTCTCGATACTTTCCCAGGCTTTCATGTCCTCTCGGTCTTTTATACAAAGTACGATCAGGGTCAAGCGTGCGTTGAGGATTTCCTCAACGATGACTCAGGTTCACTGCCGAGAGTGAACGTACGAGCGGAGAGCACAGACGGCTCGCACAGGCGAGTGTGAATGTCCGCGCGATAGAACGTCTCTGATCGGGCAGAGAATCCTCAACGTGCCGTTGAGAATCCTCAACGCACGCTTGACCCTGAGTACGATCCGCTGGTGCAATGTTCATACTCCGCGATTAGCTAGCGAATCGCTCGATGCGCAAAGTCTGACATCGGCCTTACCAAGTGTGCATTTCCACTTCCTACATGTTCGTTGCCATCTGGGTCGTAAGTGTTTGCGCTCTAATTAATGTGCTGGAGCATAATATCGTAGCGCTTGCATTTTGCAGAAACGTTCGTAAAAGCAAAACTATCGTAAGCACAACACTAATCAGTGATGTTCCCTTCGTCATTTTTCACGACTCTGATTCCATTTCGCAGGAAATCACCGGATTCAGAACTAAAAAAAGATACTGGGCCCGTTTCGGAGTTCGCTTATAATCCCTTTGTATCTTGACATGTAAAATTATTAAATATCAGGGTCGGTAGGAGTAAGGTTTTATGAAGACGATGGATTCTAAAAATCTTCCGTCTTGGCATCCTTTTCCTTTATGTAGATTTTCTGCTGACTTGACTGTCCAACTTCTAGTCCCAAATCTGAGTAAATTACAATATAGAAGAAAATGACAAACAAGGTATTGTAGAGCGAAAGAAGTACTTTCAAACGATATAGGTGATTTTCAGGGTTGTACTTGCATTCAGTGTATTTGTGCGCCAAAAAAACGCTACGATATTATGCTCCAACCCAATATAAACGTGTGTGTAATATTCACGCTAAGCGCGCAGCGACTCACGCTATCATTGGAGGCAAGGCTTCAAAGGTCTTAATGACTCAAGGTATTCTGGCACCGACACCTGTAAAGCGGGTGCCTGCTTATTTAACGCCAAGCGGATTTCTACGGGTCAGAGTATTCCCGGCTCAAAGTTGTGGCCACATTCAACTGCTAAGACAATTTTCGAGAAAAAAACCAGTTCTAAAAAACTAAAGTAGGGCAGTAAAGGGGAAAAGTGCCGAGAAATCCAAGTCAGATACTGAAAAGCTAATATTCCATTCTAAGAAATTCGCTGACACTTTATACAGAAGATTAGCTCCTTTAAAGAATTGAGTCATCCAAGTTCTTTCGTGCCGCTACTGTCGCAACGCGAACGCTTCCCTGTTATAGGCGCTGTTCATTATTCCTCATCTACACAAAATTCTACCAAAATTTTGATTCTCAATATCCTGAAGTCCGTCCGTAGACGCTTCCATATGGATATGCCCAGTAGTATTGTTGACGCTGAGGCTGGGATTGTGTTTGTACTGGCTGTGAATAGTACCATTGTGATGATGAGGGCTGCACAGTTTGATATATCGTATATGGTGAGGGCTGTTGATATGTTGTCCAGTAGTATTGCGCTGGTTGACTGGAACCATATTCCTGCGGATATCGATAGGGGATGTAGGTGAGTTGTGGGCGAATTGGTCGATAGGTTCGTTGAGCTACAGGAAGGTATTCAGGTTGGTAATTTACAAAGCGATTGGTTGGACTTATTGGAAGGTAGGATCGCTCGACTCCTGCACCAAAGACATCTCTGTTGATCGGACGGAAAGAAACCTCGACACTGGTGGGAGTTGTTTGTTCGGAGGGTAGGAGTGCCTGCTGAAGTTGATCCTGCGAAGGTGCGTTCACTAATGCAAACGGCGCCAATGCAGGAGTGAGGAAGCGACGGAGAAGGTCGGAGATGCGCTGAAATTGACAACATTAATGCAATAGAAGCAGCCAATCGTGATTGTTGTGAAGTAAGTTTAGCCTGAAAAGTGTCAAGAAATGAGTTCTTCAAACATTACAGCTGCTAAGCACGTGGGCGAGATCTATAACGTTTAGTAATGCAGGGACTGTGGCTAATGATCGATTCAATTGGATTATGCGGAACATCGGCCGTCGCCATCGAGCTGTACCACTGTCGAGGAATCCTTGACGGAGGATTTGTATTAGACAGGGTGAAAAGAGATGTGGGTGATGGGGTCAACATCAGTGTGACCCATGTGCCTAATACGGGCTCCCCCTCCCCTCCTCTCACGGGCAAAACGTTGCAGAAAACAGTCTGTAGAGAAAGGAGGAAGGTGTGAGGTGGTGAGTTTTGAAGTTCTCGTAAGATTTCCCCATGGTTATCAATTGTCCACAACTTTTCATAATCCACCTCATCGAACTCTTCTCTCACAGTGGGTTTAATAAGACTTCTTAACGAGGAATCTCGCGACGATTGGCGCAGTTGCGAACCGAACGCCCACCGACCACGGAAATAAAAAAATTGTTCCTTAGGCAAGATAGGGATTGAATTATGAGGTTAATTCCACTTAAATGTGAAAGTAGGGGTAGGTAGTGGACCGCCAGTGCAGAAAAGAGAAAAAGAAATCGTGAAATGCTTAGGAAATACGAGCCATTTCCTCTACGGTGCGGAGAAGTTCAAAAGGCCGGCAGGGAGATGAGAGATAATGTGAGCGCGGAGAGCGCTAGAGAAGTCTAAGTAGAGAGAGCATAGCAGATCAACATTCCGACGCAGTCAAGATATCGAGCGGTGGGCGGAGCGTGTCGCAGCAGGTGGAGCGTGTCAAAGTTCTTAGAGCCTAGCGTCTAAATAACGGTTTTCGAAGTAGGGAAGTGACGCGACCCATACACTTGCGTGCCTAGCGCTTCTAGCCACCGTAAAGGCTCATTAAGTGGGTCTGAACTTCG